TGCAAAGCTTCATAACAAAAGAAAAAATATTTTTACCCCTTAAAAAAAAGATTAAGTAGATTGATGTATGACCAACTCATTAATTAAAGTTTTGTAACTCTGTGCATTTTTAATCACAAGATATTATCATTTTAAAATTTGTGTTCAGGTGATGCAATACTTTTGAGCGCGACTGTACATTTGATTTAGATATTTTGTTAAGAATTATAAATTAAAAATATGAACAAATATACAAATTAATTTATTTGATTAACAGAAGATATAATATGACCTCCAAGAAATAAATAATTAAATAATTGCAATTATCACCCAAATTTTTATGCAAAAGTGTCGCGATAATGTGATAATAAGCCTGCATTATCATAACTGCCCTCAGATAAATGGTAAAAATAAATCAAGGGACGGGCGTGATAAATAATTAAGGCACGTAATCGCGAATTTATCTACTGCGCCAAAAAGTTCGAAATTTTCGATTTTTCTATTAATAATTACATTTTGGTAAAAAAATTAAGACTACAAATTTATTTTGCTTTCAAATAATACTGTCCTTCGCTTCGTTTCGGACAACTAAAATAAAAATAAGTATAATGTTTAATTATTTTGGTTTAGTAATTTATTACCTCATTGTAAATGCCAAAAAAAGAAAATTCAAAGTAGCTATACAAGGTTCATCCGTTTTAAAATTTCAAATTTTCGAGTGAAATCATATGGTTATCACCACACTTGGTTCATAAATATAAATTAAAATAGAAATTTGTAGGATTAAAATAATGAATAGAACACTTTTATTTTTTATAAATAATTCTCTTACATTGACTAATTAAGAAAATATAATTCATTCGTTAAAATTGCGGCTTTACTTTTACCGTTGCAAATTACTTCACAGCTTTATGGTTTTTATATAAACATGAAGTTCTTTGAATACAATTAAATACAACTTATCTTGAGGATTTTTTTTAAAACCTCGTTAAAATTTTTAAATTTAAATCGTGTATCACAAGTCGTCAAAAATTATAATATGCTTTTCACAACTAACGATATTAAAGTAATGAGTAAGGATTGCATCAAAAAGTTGATTTTATCTTTGGCTGAAGGTTTAAATATAAACAGTTGCAAATAATGTTGTTTATTGCTAAATAGTCAAGTGGAATTGATTGTAAAAGGTAAGAAGTAGATATGATACAAATCTATGTAATGCACAAAAAAGAATACAATCAACGACATTTAAAGTAAATAAAATTAAACTAAATTTCCATTGACAGAAAAACTGATTAATTTTATTAATAATTTTTTAGATGTAATTAATTTATTTGCATCAAGATCCCTAATATACATTTTACATGTAGTTTTTTCTCTGCTTCCAAAAATTGGCGGATGCATATATTGTATATTTTGAATAAATGAACCGCATTGATTAGCGACAGAACAATACATACATTCGGCTAAAGTTTGATTCGCTTTCCGAAATATACTTATATACCGGTCTATTAAGTAATCTAAGAAGACTGCTATCACAAATACAATGTTTATAATAAAAAATTCTACATAAATTAATTATTCACCACTTATAAATTTATGAATCTCCATTTCTTTGATGGTAAAATTATTTGCATCTAAAATGCTACTTTCATAACAGTGTCGATTGCACGTACCAGTATTGTTATTGATAACTAAATCACTATTGCCAAAATTTAATAGTATGTTTTGATTATTACATTCAAATATTGCACAATTACTATTTACAACTCGACTGATCTTAAAATCATTTAAATCGCTTCCATCACCCATTGAAAAAATAAAACTTTCTGTAGTATTAGACCAATAAGTATCACCATGCATAATATGTTCATAATATTTCCAGCCAATAGGATTATAACCACCAATTATCGTACCATTCTCATTAGTTTTAATGATCAAAATGCATGCTCCTTGTCCATTACAATTTCTACGCATAATATTCGTATCAAAGCCATCTCTACTTCCTTGATAAATAAGGCTAAAGTTATATTTACTATCCTTTGGAATTCTTGAATTAGAACGCTTTCTCTGAATCCAATTAGAAAGAATAGTTAATAATTAATGAATTTGCAGTAATTTTTCTATATCGAGGATGTTGATTAGGTTTAGTATGTGTCATGTAAAATTCTATAATGTCTTCAAAGAGTGCTTCAGGTAACACCTTCCTAATTGACCAAATATTTTTATAAAAATCTGTTGTAGAAATTTCAAAGAATCGAATGTGTGCAATAAATTGATTCAAAACACTTTTTAAAGCCTTAACATCCTTTTTATTCCAACTATTTAAATTTGTCATTGTCTTTCCTTCCAATTCCGAAGATTGGGAAATGCCCCATTTAACAAGATGATTCCATAATTCAATTTCATCGATTTGACAATCTTCTCTTTTAATTAATTCAAGTAGAAAACTTTTATCTAATGTTGGAAAGTTTGTTGAATTAAAAAATGGTTCTGGATCATCACTTATAGTTTCTAAAATATAACTTTGGAGTTGTTTACAGCTTTCTAGTTGGTAAACCGTGTGAAGCACTTTAACAAAATTTTGTTGCCACCATTCAGTTTGATTTTTAATCAAATATTCTAGTACGGAAGTAACCAATTCATCAAGAAGCAATTTATCGGATGCTAAAATAAGTTCAAGCATATCAGAGCCGTCTTTTTCATTCAAATCAATTTTACCAGAATACAAGTATCTATAAAAAGAAATGATAATTCGAAAATTGAGAAGTTTAGTAAATTTGTGGTTACGTGATACAGAATATAAAATGTTGGCAAGAAAAATAACTTTATTAATTTAATTTTCTTTAGAAATAGAAAAAAAAAATTTCAGGAACAATTGTTACCTAATAATCATACCAAAAATTATTGGAGAAATATTTGGTTTATTAAAGTTTATCAAATTATCTTTCTTTGTAATCCAATTTTGTGAGAGGGCTCTTTTAAAATAAGTTGATCGAGATTTCAAGATTATCGAGTGTGCACGAAATTCTTTGACGTTTGAATTTTTTCCAACTCTAATAACAACATCATAATCTTCTGCGTCATCAAGCAATTGAGAAAAGTTCTGCGATAACTTAGGAAAATGTTCGATGGCCATTTTTCAAGAGCAAAAAATTATTGTAAGAAAAGGATGGAATATTGTATTGTTTAAATAAAATTTATATTTCACAGAATTCATTTAATCGACATGTAAAGTTACGCAGCGCCCATTTCAATAGTTTCGCTGTTTATCAATTGCCTTTTTTGAGTTTCGTCCCTCATCTTTAATCACAACAAATAAAGCAATAAATTCATGATAAACTTTTACGCGCACTATTTCTCATTCAAAGATTGTATTTTAAGATGAAATTTAGATAATTTAATTACGTTCAAAATTTCTTAATCTATGTCGTGTAAAGAAAATTTATTATATTCGTGATTTGAATAAAGTCTTTGAATACGTCATTTTGTCATATTTACTATTTGGTTACACGCAAATTAACCTATTGTGACCAAAAAATTACAACCAAAATTAATCTTAGAGAGTCATTTTTAGTCACATACTTTATGTAAAAACGAGCGTTGACTTAATATGATGATAAATATAAAATTTTGGATCCATTAACGCAACAATTTTTTTGTAGCAAATAATTAAATTTTCGAAAGCGGAAATTAATATCAAAAATTTTAATTTGTTAATATTTGCCTAAATAATAAAATCAATAGAGTCACATGATTGTGCTATAGGTGATTAGTTATTTTTCGAGATAAGCCAACTTTTATATGAGTATATTTTTAGCATCTAGTTTGTATAGACCATCTAAATTAATTAAAAAACAAAGATGATCGTTACATTACAATCTTTGTGCAAAAATTCTATAGTTTTTGCAAAATTTATTAGAAAAACCGATATTTATCGCTCTAGATCTGTATTATCAACTAATATGGCAATATATTCTCAAGAACTAGCTCAGGACCCTTCAACTTTTCCAAAGTGGCCAACATTTTTTGTTATGGTAAGTTGCATCTAGTAGTACCAGTCGTGACAAATTCTGGAGTCGACTCAGTCAGCCGTTAGACACTTTTCAGTTGACTCAGCCGTCCATTGAGTCGAGACTATCATTTGAAATTAGCTACCATAATTATATTATAAAAAATTTTTTGTTAAATATTAAGATATTAATAATTTAATTAATATTGTAAAAAGCAGATAATTATAAGTTTCATAAATAACGATAACAAAAATCCCATTTAACTAACAATTTGAAGTTTTATTTAATTAAAAATTTCACAATATTCTGACCTTATATTTAATTTGGAACAGCGACTCAGTCATGGCAACTAGTAGTACCAGCCGTTGGAGTCAGAGTCGAAGACTGAGTCGACTCTGCAAAAATCAAGTAGAGTCGACTTCGGAATTTTCAATGACTGAGCATCCCTCCAAGTCTTGAGGAAAATTTGACTCCATTCCATTAGTTCTTGAATCGCGCCCGTTCTACGGTTTGTTGTTTGTTCCCATGGAATGCCATGTTACTTTCGTGTTTAAACCCCTTATTTAACTTTTGTTGAGAAATAACTTTATTTTTCTGTTGTCTATTATTAAGTAGATACTTTTCAGCAGCAATAATCTCTTTCAATTCGCCATAGCTATCGATGTCATCAAATTCTTCTCATTTTGCATATTGTCACTCTTGGAGTAGCAAAAATTACATTCTTGACCCTGTACGACACACTTTCTTGACCCACAATGTCGATCCTATTATGATCGTCAAGAAGCCTCGGAGTATGACTGCGCCCAAAATTGGATCGACGATATGACATAACTGTATTTTATCTAATTAACTATTTTGATTATTAAAGTATTTGATTATTTTTACTATTTGATTATTTTTCTATCTTTATTATATTTTGATAATATTTTAAACTATATTGATTATATTATTTAATTTAAATTTTAGCTATATTTATTTTTATTTTTATAATAAAAATTTTAAATAAAACAAATTTAATATA